TCTGCAATTCCTTTAGAAAATACGGTCAAAATGTGTTCCTACAGTGAGCCATGCAGACGCTTCCTATCACCACTAGGGGGCAGGCCATTACAGTATGAGCCAAGCTCAACCTTAAAAGTTGTTTGAAGGGCATGCTAACTTTTCCCCGCATGAAAACAGAAGACTGTCTACTTCAATTAATTCTTTCCTGAAGAAGATAAGGAGAAAGAATGAATTTAACAAGAGAAATTATGAAAGTTGAGACTCTTGTATATAATAAGTATAGTGAAATAAAGAAGTTTCATTCTTAGTAAAATTTCCAATTATTCACTTCCACATTCTGGTTGGCAAGATATTATTTCAACCGAGCGTTTAAGGATTAGTCATGAATGGGACAAATGCCAACGGAGCAGAAACAACTCAGAATGTGAGGCTGTCCGCCGAAAGGAGGAATCCTCGATTATAAAGGACAGGCTGTGTTACCCGCAGAGGGTGGAGATGTGTCTAAAAAATAAATAAATCAATAAAACTTTCCAATGGCTGTTATCCTTTGTGGCGGTTAATCTGAATCATCTCAGGCGGAGTCAGTGGGCAGCGCAGTGCTGCACGTCTGTCTGGCTCTGGGTCTGCACAGACTGGCACCGTGACCTTGAATGAATGAGTTCTGTACTCTTGGTCACAGAACTTCTTCAGAACAAGGGAAGGACACCCGTCTTTGAATATCAAATTTAAACTGAAACATTTAACATTGTTATTTAGAAGCTATGTGTGAGGGGAAATTTTTACAAAACACAAAATTACTTTGTACATTGTTTTAATGTAAGTCTACCATGATACATTACTAAAACTGTCTTTATTAAAAAAAATAGAGCATATTGAGACCTTTGACCAAATACACAATCAAACAGAGTAATAAGCCAAAAGTCAAACTAGAACTTAGTTGCACATTTTTATGACAGTGTTCGAAGTAAGCATATTAAGTGCAGTGAGAATGCACGCTGATCACTCTTTGAAATTAAAAAAAGAGACAGTTACTTGTTTGGAAGTATAAGTGACTAGTCATGGCAGGTCAGATGTAAGCAGACAAGATGTATTTCTTATACATTGATTTGCTATTTCAACCATTATGATATCATCTGTGCTTGAAAACTAATGTAATAATGTCTTAGATAAGACGAGATATGCAAAAAATGAAAACAAATCCTTATGAAAGGTTTCCCTCTGACAAAAATGTAGAATAGGGGTCACATGGAGATACCCTAACACAAGTTATCAATAAGAAATATTTTCTTTTAGCTGAGCTGAACCAAATTCCCTCAGTCAAACTGGCCATATCAATGTGTCTATATACTGAAATCCTATTTAGCAATTTTTCATCAGGGCCCCCAACCCTGCTCTCACCGAGTTGCTTATGCATGATTTTCTCTTCAGAAAGACACTGAAACAAGTAACCCCCACCCCTCCCTCTCTCTCTCTCTCTCTCTCTCTCTCTCTCTCTCTCTCCACACACACACACACACACACACACACACACAGAGCTGCATCTTGTGGAATATGTGACCTAATGAATGTAAATTTGGGTGAGTAACACAGTAGAGAGGGTTAGAGAGTTGCAGACAAATTGCTTCTGCAAATAGCTATATACTGGCTCATAGACTTCTCAGTACACAGGTTTAACACAACTAATGCAAAAATTCTGACAGGACCATTTGTAAATACAGACAGGATTGTTCTAAGATTTAATATGGAAAGGCAATAAATGGCAACACAAATTTTAAAAAGAACAAGGTGGGAAATATCTATTCAACATACTGTGTAATAATAATCAAGATTGCACGGCATTAGTGAGGAAATGGTCACTTATTTCAAAGGACCAGAACACAGAAACCACACAAAATAAAACCGCACAAAACTGTCCAGCTCTTTACAAACTGCAAAGTGAGAACCTGCCCAGCAGCAAGGCTGGGCAAGTACACATACAGAGGCAAAAGGCAAAGCTTGCTCTAAACTTCAAGTACGTAGGGCCAAAAATAACTCACAAAAAGAATTCAAGACTTAAGTAAAACACAAAACTCTAAAACTTTTAAGAAAGGAAAACTCTTGGGAGTGGGAAGCTATTTCCCAGGCTTGACAATAAAGTTCACTCTGGAAGAAAAATAAATAAATTGAATTCCAAAATCCTTCTGCTCTGTGAAAGAACCAAACAAGCAGATGAAGGGATGAGCAGAAGTTTGACGGGAAATACTTGCAAACGCTATATCTGACAAAGACCCTAAATCTTAAAAAGGAACAAAAAACAATTCTCGAAACAACCAAAGTCCAACTGTAAATTATCTGACAATACCATTTCATGTGGGAACCCCATACACAGGCTGACCCAGAGATTTTTCCTGTGAGACACGGTTGTGGGGAATTCTAATACCAGCGCAAATGCTTCGTAGAAGTCTGACCACTGGCACAGAGCTGGAAGTAACAATGTATGTCAGATACCACCCTTTGTTCTACAGTGACATATTTACCCTTTGAAATTATGTGTAGCAATTAAAGTTAGTAGCGCCTCATCTCCTTCCACTCAGCGCAGGAGCACCTCCAGAGCCCAGCAGCAGCCCTTTCCTTAGGTGCTCGTTTCTTCACATTCACCTTCAGTGCTAAATATTTTCATGGAAGACGCAGGATCAGAATCAAAACTATTTTTTTTTAATTTGGCCTTCCCTAGTTTGTAGTCCTTGATCATGGACAATTTCTCTCTTTTTTTCTTTTTCCTTTTCTTTTTTTTCCATTCTCTCCTCCAACTCTCCCCATGTCCTCCTCTCCCTCTCAAATTCAAGACTTCTTCTTATATTTCTTATACTATTTGTTCCCTCAATGTTTTTTTTTCTTTTCTTTCTTTTGTGTTTGTTCGTTTGTTTTTGTTTTTCAATACAGGGTTTCTCTGTTTAGCCTTGGCTGTCCTGGACTCAATTTATAGATCAGGCTGGCCTCAAACTCACAGAAATCTGCCTGCCTCTTACTTCGTGAGTGCTGGGATTAAACATATGTGCTAAAAGATTTTCTAATACTAGTGTTATAAAAAAAAATCCCAAAGCTTTAGAGCAAGGGGATGACCAAGAGAATAACATAATTCTTGGAGCAGGGGAATAATGCTAAAGAAAATCCATTTGATTTGGTGACTGCGTATCATTTGATCAGTGTCTTCATGTGTGAGTTACTTTGTCACTGTGATCAAATTACCTAATAAACAACTTGAAATAAAGATTTATTTTCATTATAAAAAAGTGAAATGAATGGCGGGATATCTTTTGAGTATATGCTTAGGAGTGGTATAGCTGGGTCTTGAGGTAGCGCTATTCATAATTGTATAAGAAAGCACTAGATTGATTTCCAAAGCTTACATTCCTACCAGCAGTGGAGGAGGGTTCCCCTTTCTCCACAACCTCTCTAGCATACATCATCCCTTGAGTTTTTGATCTTAGCCATTCTGATGGGTGTAAGGTGGAATCTCAGGGTCATTTTGATTTGCATTTTCCTGATGACTAAGGACATTGAGTATTTCTTTAAGTGTTTTTCTACCATCCGATATTCCTCTGTTGAGAATTCTCTGTTTAGCTCTGTGCCCCATTTTTTAATTGGATTACTTGACTCAAGTATGTTCATAGTAGCTTTATTGGTAATAGCCACAATCTGGAAACAACCTAGATGTCCTTCAAAGGAGGAGTGGATACAGAAAGTGTGGTACATTTACACAATGGAATACTACTCAGCAATTAAAAACAAAGAAATCCTGAAACTTGCAGGCAAATGTTAGAAACTTGAAAAGATCATTCTGAGTGAGGTATCCCAGAAGTAGAAAGATCCATATGGTATATGCTCATGTGTGTGTGTGTGTGTGTGTGTGTGTGTGTGTGTGTGTGTGTGTGGATATTAGCCATATAATATAAGATGAACGTACTAAAATTATAGTCCTAAAGAAGCTAAATAACACAGAGGACCCTAGGGAAGAGGCTGAAACCTAACACAGAAGGGCAAACACGATAGACATCGAAAGTAAGAGAACATAAGGAACAGGACAGGAGCCTTCCATAGTAGACCCCTGAAAGACTCTACCCATCAGAATATGGAAGGAGAAACTGAGACTCAGCCAAACTTTGGCCAGAGTGCTGGAATCCTTATGGAAGATGAAGGAGATAGAAAGACCTGGAGGGGACCTCCACAAGGAAGACAACAGAGCCAAAAAAAACTGGCCCTATAGGGGCCTGCAGAGACCAATACTCCAACCAAGAATCATGCACGGAGAGGACCTAAACTGTCTGTTCAAAAGAAGCCCATAGGCTGCTCAGTTTCCAAGTGGGTTCCTTAGTAAGGGGGGCAGGAGCTGTCTCTGACATGAATTCAGTGGCTGGCTCTTTGATCACCTGCCCCTGAGGGGGGAGCAGCTTTACCAGGCCACAGAAGAAGATGATGCAGCTAGCCTTGATGAGACCTGATAAGTTAGGGTCAGATAGAAGGGAGGAGGACCTCCCCTATCAGGAGACTAGGGAAAGGGCTTAGGGGGAGAAGAGGGAGGGTGGATGGAACTGGGAGGAGAAGAGGGAGGGGGCCACAGCGGGGATACAAAGTGAATAAGTTGTAATAAATAAATTAAAAATATTTTAAGTAAAATAAATAAAAAATCCATGAAGCAGGCAATGCTATAACTGAAAATATCAGTAAACAGAACTCAAAAAATGCAAATAGGAATGTGAGCACTGCCGTCCATCTAAAACAAATGCACAGTGCAGTGTCCTTACAAAGCTACCAGGACCCCTAAAATGAAAAGTGGCATCACCAAATGCTGTCCAGAATGTGGAAGACCCTGATCACTCACGCACCCGTGGTGGGAATGAAAAATGTTAGCCACTCTGGAAAACTTAAAAATTCTAAAGATCTACATACCATATAACTTAGAACGGCAGAATTCCACTTTTAGCTAAAAAAAAAAAAAAATTTGCATTCATCTATGCAAGAAATTTTTTAGGTGGTAGATGGCTGGAGTTCCAGTGAGAGGATCTGCGGTGAGCTCTTCAGCTTCGATTCCTGATATTCACGGAGCGAATTTTCGACCCCCAACTGTTGCGTACCCTGGAGGTTGCGGTGACAGACGCCGCTGCAGCTTCCGGGGTGCCCTGGGCTGGGGGTCGCGGCCGTCCTCCTCGCGTGATGGTTATGGGAGTCCGCACTACACTCCGCGGTGCGGGCCTGGGCTAGGCCTCACGGGAGCAGCCAGTCTCCGCGGCAGGCGGCAGCTTCTTGGTGGCCTGCTTCAGGTCTCCATCCCTGGCCGGCTACCAGGTCCCTACTTCAGGCCACCGCTGGGCCACAGCATCAGTACAGTTTGGCTACTCCCCAGGGCAGCAGCAGACCTACCCGCAGGATTCTCCAAGGACCATTTGGATCAAGTAGAGAAAAAAAAAAAAAAAGTGTCTCATGAGTTGGAAGTTGTTTTAAGCCTTCAATGCTTGAAGACCTTCGGGCTGGCCTAGAAACTGTGTCTGCAGTAGATATAAACCAACAGTACAGCAATCCGCAAACATTCACAGGCAAAAAGGAACATACTTCTCTTAACATATCTGAGATTGAACTGGAACCCTAGTGTGCAAGGAACAACTTGGACTGAACTTTTACTTGTGTAAATGAGTTGAGCGCAAAGATGATGACTTTGAATAATGATTACTGTATCTCAAGTGTTGTTGGTATTAAAAGAAGATGACAGGATAATTTGCAGTATTTAGCTGTCTGGGAGTGTGTACCACATTCAGAACACAGTTTTCACATTTAACATTTCCAAGATAACAGACATTTATGTTTTCAATGTTTAAAATAAAACGTTTTGTCTCCCTGGTTAAAAAAAAAAAAAAAAAAAAAAAAAAAAAAAAAACTTATTTTAAAACAATTACTTGCAATGCATATAATTTTACTATTGATTAAAGGGAAAAACAACTTTGCATATTACTGAAGTGAATGTGCCTCGCTGAGTATGTGTTATGTTCAACTTTCTAGAGTTGATTGATTCTGCTTTTACGATGCTCAATTCTCAGTGTGCCAATCACATAAATATCAAGTGGCAGAAGCATGTTTTAGGCTGTGTCATCACCGGAGATTCCATCCAAATCCCGAGACAAATTCATTTCAGGATTTTTTAATGAAACTTAAAGTAAGCTACTGAAACAGTATTTTTTACAACTAAGCATTCAACACAATACAGTACAGATACACTGACTGATATTTGAATGATCTTTGTCTTCCATATTTTAATCATTATGGCTTTTTGGAAATATTTAGACTTAGTTTTTAAATTCTGTGTACATGGATGTGTTTGTATAAGCATGGATGTAGGGTGCCCATGGAGTCCAGAGGTTTCAGATCCCTTCAAGCGGGAGTTACAGGCAGTTATGAACTATTCAGTTTGAGTGCTGGGAGCAAATAAACTCAAGCCCTATAAAGAATCTGTACTGTACACTTAGCCTCTGCACCATCATGGCCTCCAACATCACGTTTCTATGGGAAGGTGGATTATACAGAGTAATAAAAATGAATGGTTTAGGTCACTCACGCAACCTAGACGTGACGCAGTCAAGAGAAGAGATAAATGAAGGACAGCTGAAGGAGGCAGTTGCTGGGGAGCTGGAGGACACAGGAGTATAGTAACTCTTTTTATATGAGCATAAAGAGGTGCTCTAAAATAATGACCAAAGGGTGCTGTATTAACCTATAAGCCAGTCATAGTGACTTATCACTAACGTGCTGTGTATACACAGTGTCATGTACTGTGCAGAATTGTATGTTTAGACTTCCGTGACAGATGCGGAACAGGTGTGTTTACACAAGTATCACCACAGATTTATAATGTGTTGTATGATGACGTGTCATCTTTGACTTCACTATGATTAGTTCTATATATTATATATAATATCTAAATATTATGGTTGGTTTTAAAGTCAACTTCTCGTAAATTAGAAGAACTGTGTGCGTAGGGAGCACACCTGAAGAATCACTACCCTGGTTGCTTTGGCTGCTGTGGGTGCACCTACAGTGGGTGGCAACTTCTGGTAGCAGCCCAGATGAAAAAGGACATGGCAGAGGGAGATCCTCTCGCCTTTGTTTGCTTGGCCTTCCCTCTTGCCACCAAGTTGGATTTCCCTGTTGTTGCTGCTGCTGTTTATTCCTTCACTGACATCCTAATCAGTGTTTCCAAGCTTTCATCATGGACTACTGACAAGGGGTTCCCAAGAAACTTTCCAGCCTTGCCTCACTGGATTGGAACTGCTGGGGCACCCCACTTCATGGAGTAAGGAACTGCCAGTTGTTCTCCCCTGTGAAAGACTGTAGGACTATACTGACAGTTGAGATTCAGCTTCGTGGCTGAAGTAATTACCAGGTTTTCAGCATCTCAGATGCGATTTTGCTGTCATTACTATTTAAAAATCACCTAAAATATTCTGATTTACGACATACATACACATGAATATAAATATATATATATAATACCTCTAGAGAACCTTGACTAAAATATTAGATGATAGAAAAGGTTAACTCCATAATAAAGTAGACTTGTGTAGCCACTCTCAGGCATGTCACCTGCCAAATATGAGCTGTCATTGCTATGCATGGCTGTGCACACTTACAGTTGGCCTCTAGTTAGATACAGAAGTTAGGTTATATATTTACATGCATGTGGATGTGTTCCAGCGTTACAATGATTTTCATTACTTTAAATTGTTATATGTTTATACAATGATCATATCTATCCACCAATACTTCCCCCAACTCCTCCAGTACCTAAAACCTAGTCTCCCTCCAAACTTCGTGTCTATTTTTCTGTTTTAGTAACCGGAGTTCAGTTAGGTTTCCCATATTGGGTCATCCGCTGATGCATGAACAACCCAGCAGCACCATGTCTCCACAGAAGGATACTTCTCCCTCTCACAAAAGCCATCAACCGCTAATAGCTTCTCAGCCAGGATGGGGCCTCGGGGGTCCCTCCCTCATCTATGCTGAAATGTGGATTGGTTTGATCTTGTGCAGATAAGCAAAGCTGCTCTGAGTTGATATGCTCAATAGCTCTCTTGTGTCCAGAAGTCAGGATTTTAATTAATGATTATGAAATGTATACTGTTTATGAATATTGAAATTGAACTTCACATAAGAGTTATGTTATGATTATTATGAAACAAAATATTATTGCTGATTGCCTTTCACTTCTTAGAAAGTGTGACAGTCTTTACCCCTGGTACCAAGAAATGGGCTACTCTGAAAAGAGTTTCTAAAGATGAAATCAGGTTAAAGTGGTGAGCAAGGTGACACTAAGGCAATATGGCTAATGTCCTTCAAACAGCAGGAAAGCATCATGTAAAGGTTTGTACACACATAGATGAGAATAGTACGTGCAGGCAAAGGCAGCGAGAGGAGTAATGAGCTACAATATAAAGCCATGGATTGACAGCCACTGCCATAACTTGAAAGAAACAAAGGCCAGTTCACCAATTCTGCTTTCAGTGTCAGGGGAGCTTAGCCCCACTGACAACTTGTTTTTGGTCTTCTAGCACCTAGAAATAAATCTAAGAGAATATATTTCTTTTATCTAATTTGTGGTGCATTGTTACAGAGGCCTAGGGGGGAAATTTATATTTATATTTATATCTTACCAATCATTTGAAAATATTGAAAGTAGTCTTGGCTTATGGTGCATAGAAAATTAAGGTGTGTGTCATGGTATGCAAAATCTTAGCTGGCATAGAGCCCTATCCTTAATGCAACCCCACCCTAGACATCAACTCTCGACAAGTGGTACAATCTGAAGCCTGTGTTTTGGCTCTGCGTTGCCGAGTGCAGAGCCTCCCACCGAAAGGAGGCATTTCTGATAGTGCCACACACCCCTGCTTCCACTGCACTGTAATTAACATTTCTCTGAAATTATCTAGAAAAATAACTAGGACTTCTTCCTTATAACTGGACCTGATTATACTTTACCTTCTAAAAATGTCTTCAAGATTTTATGTGAAATGATGATCTTTAAGACATGTCTTGATAGTTATTAAGTTCAAATTTTTATTATTAAGAAAACTGCAGAGTTGGGCTTTCTGATATTAAAATTGCATACTTTGACACAAACTTTAATTAACTTTAATTCTTGTCCTAATAGACTCAGTCTCTTGATAATTTCCAAGTACTTAAGAACTGAAGAATGAATCTGTGTTACTCTGGTGTCCCCTTAGGATAAACATCCAACAATTTTATCCTAAGTATTTATCAAGGAAAAAAGCATGTACGGATCCTTCAAGTTTCGATCAGTGGTTCTCAAACTGTCACATCTCCTTGGGGAGTTGTCACAGCGATCAGCTAAAACCATCAGAAAGCACAAATATTTACATTACTGCTCATAACAGTAACAAAATTATATCTATAAAGTAGTAACAAAAGTAATTTTATGGTTGGGGGCCATTACAACATGAGGAACTGTATTAAGAGTTTGGAGCATTAGGAAGACTGAGAATCACTGGTTTTGATTATAATATAATTATATTTCTCCTTTCTCCTTCCCCCCTCCAGGGCTTCCCATACACCCCATCTGCTCTCCTTCAAGTCTGTGACCTCTTTTTTTTCATGGATTGTTATTACAAGCATATATGTATATGTATTCCTGTATAAAACCTATTCATAGGCTTTTAAACTAAAAACAAAATTTTATTATATCTCTGGCCCTTGTGAATTCCACATGAATGCCTTATTATAACTATTACAGAGTACAAAGAAACTTGTGTCTTGAGGAATAAGGAAATACTCAAGCAGCTGTCTGTGACCTGTAGAATTGGTCCTCTGAACTTCTCCTAGAAGATGTAGCAAACCTGAAAGCGTCTTCTTCGTGGTATTCCCAGAGCACCTTTCTGCACCAACCCACAGCGTTCTCTTCCCCCTCCTTGAACTCATTAAACACTTTTTTGTTTACATGTGTGCCCTGACATTTGTGGGAAATCCAGAGTTCTCTCCTTCCACCACCACACGTGCAAACCCAGGCTTCTAGGCTTGCAGAGGAAGGGACTTACCAAGCGTTATGCTATCTCACCAAGCTCGCATTCGGAGTCTCTCTAATTACATTAGGTATTCTGGATGATTTCCTGGCCTAAGCAAGGTCCTGATGACAACTGTCTTTTTATTGGTGCTGCCCATGAAACAGAGACAGTGATTATTCCCAGAGGACACTCAAAATGCGCCAGTCCATAAAAGAGAAAAGGGTTTTAGGATGAGCTCTCACACCAGCTTGCCTACTGGATTGTCCTCCTAGTTTCACTCCAAGACAGAGAAATTGCATTGCAATCTCTATGGATGTTTTAAAATCAGAAAACCTCTGCTTTTAAAAGCATCTTTAAGAAATACAAGCAGCAGAGAACCTGGAACTCTCTCAGAAGCTGGCACGGGTGACCAAACCTTGACTGCCTCACTCACTCCCAACCTAATTTTCCCATGCTTTATCTTTCCCAGTCAG